AAGCACAGGAAAAGGACTGGAGAGAGAGGTACCTTCTTTACAAAACAAAATCTATTACTTATGCTTATTGTAAAAATGAATTATATTTGCACAATTTCCAATGCCCCAAATAAAGTACCAATAGCTTATTAAATAATTATCAAATAATAACTAATCATTATTAAATAATAAGTGTAAGAATAATTTCATAGCCATGTTGGTCCAGAAATTACGTGAGGCGCAAGGATTTCTTAGGATGATATCTTTTATAAAGATCTATTATAGCAGATGAGAAGTTCATAAAAGATATCACCCTAAGAAAGCCTCGCCTCTCACATAAATAATTGGAAACATGCTCCCTTCTCCAAAGAATCCACACTCCATTTTTGACATAACATAGTAGCAAGTCATCTCATTCTCAGACAAATGCCACCAGCTTTCAGGTTGCCATCCATTAACCTCATCATTTTATTAAGCTAGATTTTTGTTGCAGTATGTAATTTTTACCCATTAGTCCTATCATGGACCAAGGAACTAGGATGGAAAGAATGCGCTCCCAACAAAGGAGTCAAAATGATGAAGAGGATTTACTTGCCTTCTTAAATCAAAGTTAACTGAAGACACAAAACTGGCAGAGCACATAGGTTCTGGGGACATAAGTGAGTATGACCAGGTCTCAGAGAGATATCCATGTCAAGGAGAGGGGAACAGTAGTGGGCATACTACTTCTGTTTAAGTATTGCTTGGCTCTGCTCATTGCAGCAGAGAGGTACCACACTTCTCCAATGTTGGTTGTGTCTTCAAGACATAATGCTGCTGTCTGAGAGCAGAACTTAAAGGGAAAAGGTATTCTTTTCGATGCAGCATTAAGAAAGGTGTAGAACTTCCATTAAATACTGATGTGCCATTATTGGAATTACAATTGGTTCTTGATTTATCAGAAGATTTTATACATAGTATAGCAGTTAAAATTACTTATACGCTTTACCCCCTGATGCCTGAGTTGGTTCCTGTTCGCGGGGATGTTGATGGGACCACGACCAATGGATTGGACTCCACTGAGATGGTACAGAAGCTTCCTGAGGTGCAAGACGATACAGATCCACAGCTGTGAGGGGAATGGTTCAATCAGTTGTAACTTTTTTTCTGATTGAGGCACCACCAAAATTTATCTTTTGCACTTCTCCCTTCCATACAGCTTTTGTTCTTCTCCCTTCCATACCTAAAATATATCTTTTACAAATGTATAGGGAGGAAACTTGAAGAGCATAGAATGGGAATTCTGGTTTGTTTAAAGTATAACTGGTTTTGTAATCTGTTCCTTCCACACCATCCTCATATTTACTGAAGGGTATGGTCTTAATACAGAATAACACAGAATTCATGGCCAAAAAAACAGCTGTGGTTGCATCTCTAACCTAGGTATGATTGAAGCCAGTTTTCTTACAAAATGTTCTCATAGGAATCCACATAGCTTTATGTGACTGAAATTTAATTTTATCACTGTATCCTTCTATATTTGAGAATTTTGTAGTTGTCAAGGGGAGAACAGTTCATGAATGCAGAAAGGGAAAATATAATATTATCCCATTACAGTTTCTAATGATCTGTTATGTAGTTTTCTGTAAGTGGTATAGTTTAGATTGGTAGCCAAAAGAACATACATTTGCCCTTTGAGGGTAGGGGGGCAAATCTTAGACTAGGTTCTGCCATTTTTAAACCAGTCTATGTGCCTAACTTCTGTTCAGTTATAAGTGTATACTGGTTTTCAATCACTTATACCAGTAAAAGTGTAATGTCTATACCTGGCCATAGTGAAATACATTGAGGTATGAAACAACTGAAGATACAGTTGTTGAGGCACAAAGATATAAGACCGAAATATTAAATAATCCAACTAGTACCAGTGCCACCACCAAATGTGTCTGCCCAGCAAAGCCAAAATCCACCAGCACCTTCACCTGGAAGTGAGATAGTGATGGTAAGAAATAAATATGAGTGCACAGTAAAGATATGACTCTGGCCTCAGTGCATTAGAAAATAACTAGTGAAAAGAATGAGAAAGATAGCTATAAAAAAAAGCTACTGAAGCAACAGTGGCGGACCAATAATAGCAGTTATTTGACTGTTCCTTTAATTCATTTTTAATTAGAGCCACAACTGTATTGCTCACAGGCACAGGATCAAGGTAAGTTACTGTGGCATTTAACTTATTATTTTGGAACTGTAATTTTATGGGTCACAGAAACAAGCAGTAGAACGTATAATACATTCTGCAATGTAAATGTATTCAAAATAGAATCGTAGTTTTCTTCTCACGCAATGAAATGAAGGCTCTCTCAATATGAGAGAGAGCTCATCATTTTTTGGAAAAGGTGGGCTACAAACACAAGCTAAGAGGTGCACAAAAGGTGCACAAAAGGTGCACAAAAGGTCTACCACCATATTCTCATTACCAATAAGGCTACAAATCTGCGCACACTTGCACCAAAAGGGGTCTGATTCCACTGCCACTGGAGTTACCATGAGTTCTACCATTGAATTAACAGGAAGAAGACCTGGGAAATAAGCATGATGATATTGAGAGGGATAGGAATGCAAGATAAAGCCATGGTCACTAGCATTAATACATGTTGCAGATCATTAATGCAAGGAGAAAAAAAATCCCTGACCAGAAAATATATACCTTATGCTGAAAGTATTTGTTGACACAAAGCCATTGGCTCAAAGAAAAAAGTTATAGAAAAGCCCCGTCACTACCACCAATGGAAAAAAATCCCAACAGGAAAATGTTAAGGTCAAATCCTTGCATTCTTTATGCAAACAAACACCCACTGACTTCCTTATGGACTTAAATGCTGGATTTGACTGTTAATTATTTTTGAAAATGTTCTCTCTCCAGTTCATATTGTCAAAGTTCAGAATGCAAAGAATGATACATACAGTATGTCCTTACACAAGTACAATCAAACTCAGTACCTAAAAGAAAATAATTGTTTTGAAAAAAATTCACTGCACCTTATTTTGAACATTGCAGCATTATTTTATGTAGTCTAGCCCACCTATTATAGTAAGCACTGGAGACAACAGATACCAATGTTTTGTGAACCTGATCTATTTCCCAGGTTTCTGGAACCACAAAATAAAACCAGTCTGTTAGCCACACACCCAAAGCTCACTCAGTATCACCCCTCTCACAGTTAGAAATAAGGTAATTCTGTGTCATAGCATTTCTCAGCAAGAAATAGTTTCTGAAGCAGACAATCATGATTGCAGTAGAAGGCCTTTTTTCCTTCCTAACCAGCTGGTAATAAATCTAACCTGCCTTAATTTAGTAAGTGGTAAGATTCATGATGTAAAGTCTTAGGAAGATAATATCTACACTGCCATATTCTGTAGAGATGCTTGAGTCAGTTTGAGTACTGAGGAACAAGTACAAGATTTTTAGAGGAAAGAACTACCTGACATGTTTTTAAAACGATGCAATATTTTATCATTGCACTGATGCATTATAGTGCTGGATCAACAAGGTCAGAAGAGTTATGGAACCCTAAATACAGTACTTCTTAAAACCTGAGACCCAAGTGCAGATGAAGAATATTGATTCCTTGCTCTCCCTCCTGAGCTATGATAGAGGTAAGTGTAATATTAATGTCACTACTGAAATTAGTGCCCAACAAATAGACCTGGAATGATACAGCATCACTAAAATGTTGCTCAGCAATATGTAATAATATTTGGAAAGACAACCAGCACCCCAAATCTGTTGTTTACCCAGGTGCATCTATCGGCCTTAATTTACAGAAGACAAATGAGCACCCCAGTGATAACATTCATATTTACAGATGAGTAAAAAACAGTGCCAATGGCATTTTGCCATTTTAAAATGCATTGTAAATGATCCACTTACAGCTAGAGGATAATTTGTTACCTGTATCTATTTGTGTAGCTTTTAGCTAACAAATTAGACATGTAGATGCAATATTGACGGCCATTCTTTTTTTCTCTTTCTCCTACCACTATAGTATTCAAATATATAATTCAAATATATATAAATCTGTGTTTGGTGCTCACTCTGTGCTTACTGTTAATGCAGGGATGGGCAATTATTTTGGGCGGACGGCCGCTTACTGAGTTTTGGCAAGCCATCGAGGACCGCCTGACAGACAGCCAGGGGCAGATAAATATTAATTTTCTAAATTTTTTAGGAGCCTCGCAGGCCAGATAGAATGGCCTGGTGGGCTGCATCTGGCCCACGGGCCGCATTTTGCCCACCCCTGTGCTAATGGGACTAAAGCTGATTCTGTTTTGTTTGCTCTACATGGTGTGATTTTTTTAACAATCTTTACAACTGCCTTGGGAGATGAATCATGATTAAGGAACAACAATGAGCCTGAAGAGCCTGAATGGTGCGTGTACAGTGCATCTACATGAGACATTTACTGAGGAATTGCCTAATTAGCTCCGCATTAAATGTCTCAGAAGCTACACGTGCAGCCCTATAAGGCCACAGTAAACTAATAAATGCTGTTGTAGGATAGTACTTGTCAACACAAGTACTATCCTGTGGTGACATTATTTACTCCACCACAGAACGTGGGTAGACACTGATGGGGCTGGCTGGAGCACTAGGGTGGCTTCAGTGTGGGGGTTGCTTGCTGGCTAGCCCTGAATTCAAGCACCCTAATGCTCCAGCCAGCCCTTCTGCAGAATGTAAGCTGGGTCGAAGCAGCCCTGGGCTGGCAGGCAGACCCTGGAGCCCACTGCCAGCCAGGGCTACTCCAACAGCTCAATGTGCTGCAGTCCTGGGCACACATGTAAACACGGCACCCAGGAGCAATAAACTCTGGCACAGAGTGCGCCAGAGTTTATTCAGTTGAATTAACAGCATGTGCAGGCATGCCCATGGGGAAGCAACCACAAGCTTTTTAGCCTATAACTTTCTGCCACAGAATTACCTGAGAGAAGACAATTCAGGGAGATACCCAGCACCAATCAACAATTTTGAAAGGGACCCTACATTGCTTTTTTCTAGTTTGTAATGCAGGAAAATGAAACCCTTGCCATTGTGATACAGGCCAGGCCCTGCTCTGAGTTAGAGGCAATGCTGGTTAGTGACAGTTTTAGCAAGGAACGTGAAGAAGCTATGTCCCTGAAATAAACCTTCTGAGAGAGTGCAGGTCACACCATCTCTAGATGATGAGCATTCATGCTAGCATCACAACACTAGCACTGATATAGAAATATCAACATATTTTTACCAACTTCTAATGTTCTTTATTGGCATTTCAGGCCACTCTAAATTTTTACCCCCTGAAATCAAGGTACATCAGTGAAGGAAGCCTGTGAACACAAAATAAGAACACAGACCATTAAAATCAATGCATTTTTATAAAATGGAAAATGAATGGTTCCTGAGCCCCTTTCCAGAGATCAAATGTCAGTTTTGAAAGTCATAAAAGTCCCTGCACAAGAAGGATGAAGTCATAAAATTAAATATCAGATCAAGATGAAATATAAAAATCCCATCAAAATCAACATGATGACAATTGAACAATTACTCCAAACACCCAGCAATCTAAAGCTTGTAAAATTTCCTCCACTACATTCACCTATTCTTCCTCCGGCCGCAGACCCATCTGTCCCACCACCACAAACCTCCATCACCTTAAAGTTAAGAAATTCATCATGTATAAAGCCCAAGTTCAAAACAGTTAAAGCTGATGTTATTTCATTTTGCCCTCACGCTAGTGGTAAGATTCTACCATGTATTGCATGCATGTGCTGAGTACTGGGGGAAGAGATTTGAAGAAATTTGTTTCTATACATCATAGTACAGCTAGTCAATGCAGGGCAGAAAATGGTGTTTGTATTCTGTTGAGTACTAGGGAAAAGCTAATGTTCCTTCAAACACTCAAAGGTCCCATGAGCACTGAACCTGTATCTTCATGCTGCTATTAATTACAAGTACTGTAACCTTCATTCAAACACACTCTCAATGTATGTCCACAGTGAGATAGATCAGGATTTTGATTTGTGTTGCCAGCCTCACATCCATGAACAACCAAAAACCATGCTTGTTCTTGATATTAAGTATCAAAAGAATGTACACTCTGCATATGGAGAAAAAATTCAGTATCTCTTTCTCATATAAGCCAGTGAAAATTTAGACAGGTACTTCAAGTGAATTAAATTGTAGTGCCTGATAATTGAGAGAAGAGCATGAGAAAATAACAAAAAATATATGGATCAAGGAGAATAATTTACTAATTTGAAGCATACACATTGAGATAGTCATGTAACATTTTTGTCGTCTTGTCACTTTTCATCAGCCATCCTATATGAATCTCATTTCTGATACAACCACCCCAGAGAATTATGTCCTAGAATAATGTTCCAACTACATCACACATACCTGGTCACTTACCAGTCACTTACCCAGATACTCTCCTTGAATACAATACAGTTTACATTAAATTATTATAATTCATTAGCCTTACTAGAACTTGTGGGATGCTGCTTGTAGGGATCGCTACTGTCTTTTCCAGGAAAGTCCTTAGGCCCCATTGGAATAGAAGAGGCTGTAGTACCCATTGATGTGTTTTCATCACCTGTTGATGATGGGTGAATGAATCATTTGTAATCTTTTCATGTCATTTATACAGTTCTCATTATTACTTTTGTAACTATAGCAAGCCTGTTCCTTTCATTTATTTGTTCAGTGGAGGAATAGAAGAAAAGGGAAATTTGTTTATTTTTGTGGTTCAGTATGAAAGAGCACAGCTTTTCTAATCCTGACACCTAAATTGCTAATATGAATTGCTCAAGAAAGAAGGAATATGCAGCATCCTAGTGATCCTACATGGCAGCAATTTGGTCATGCAATTTACATTGCATTGATGATGATGCACCCATGGCTATGGAACTTGTGGCTTGAGATCATTTTTATGGTTGTGTTTACTATATTTTCTAAGCTTTGCTCCAGGCAAGAGACTGTGGTTGTAAGCAGAACATATGAGAACTCTCACAGGAACCAATGGGAAAGCAATGCACGAAATTTTCCAGGGGTACTGCTCTGAAATTAATTCCATGCCCATAGCAAGAATGTTGGCATTAGCCTGCCTTGGTATTTTGGGGCCACTGTAAACTATATGATGAAGCAGGAACAAAGTGTCATAAGAATACTTCTAGCAAATATTCTAACATTTCTGTTTAAAAGCCAGTGAATTAAACATTTTCCTCACTATGGAGAATAATGAGCTCTAGAGCTGAAATTAGTGCTTTGCAGATTTTGCTGCCTCAGAACCCCTTCTGCCTCAGTGAAATTGTTCACTCAGTTATTTTAAGAAACCATGTCAACTACAATGGTGATAATCCATCATTCTTACCAGGGCCTGTTGAAGTATAATCCTTTTTGCCTGCTCCAGAAAAATCCAATGAAGGATCATCATGAGTAGTTGTATCCTGTGATGAACCACTACCCACAGTATTATCATAGACAGGTGGTGTTGGGTCAGGGTTTTTCACACCATCAGTGTAACGTGAGCCATCTGCATTATCAATGACTGTTGGAAAGAGAAAATGATCAGCTTTTGTATCTGGGACCCATGCACTGGAGTTGTAGAGCAAAGTTGAATGGCAATAGTGGTGGTCATGCTTAACATCAGTCAGGCCATTTGCTATCTGCCTGTTTATCTATCATTGATGTGACCTGAGTATTTGTCAGCTTATATAAGGTTCAATCTGTTACATGGGTTAAAATTTGGATTGACTTTGAAGATGAAATGCTGGCCCCACTAAAGTCAGTGAGAGTTTTACAAGTGATTTTGATGGAATCAATGCCATATGAGAGTCTGGCTTCATCCCTGATTGATCTCTAAACCCACTGGTTTAGGTAAAGTATAGAAGGAACAGCCCCTAGTGAGATAGAAAAGGCTTAAATAAAGTTTTCTTTGATCAAAGCAGCATCAGAAAGATTTAATTAAAAATTAGGTACTTCATTAGTGGAAAATGTACTTCATTAGTGCCTCTCAATGTTAATGCTATTATACAAAGCCTAATTTTGGCAGCAAAAAGAGGATTGTTTACATTACTTGTAGAATAGCACTATCTCTGGACCTGCTTGGAACATTGAACATTTCCATCACATATGTGAAGAACTACCTAGTACAGGTGAAAGTGGGATAAATGTCTGGAAGCAATACTGTACCTATTTGGTTCTGATCAGCAAGTGAAGAGTTATCAAAACTTAAATCTAGCTTTTGAATTGGTTCACAGGCTTTGTCTCTTGTTTCTGAAAGAGAAGGGGAAAAAACAGGAAAGTTCAGTCAACAGCAGTAAGAAAAAATCAGTTTATTTTGAAAGTTTGATTAGATCCACAGATTTATGCACAATGTGCTAAGAAAAGTTTCTTAATGACAGTTTATGTAAACGTTAATAATTGAGTGATGTTTTTAGTGCAAAAGATGCTCATTTTTTCTCAAATTCACAAATTAACTCAGTACTCTCCTAGATCCCCTTTTAGCCAACTCTGCTACCCAGAACTATGTAGGAGTTGCACAGATCTCCACCTATGATTCTTAGGTGAAGAAGGGCTGTTAGAAGATATTAAGCTAATATCTAGCTCCTAATGAAATAAGTTAATTCTTATCTGGCAGAACAGTCCCTTAGGATCCACTGCATGCAGCCAGCTCCAATGTGAGTTAGAGCCACATGTTGCTTTTACCTATCCCAATTCAGAATCATGCCCCTTGACCTCTGTGGTATATCATCAGGCAAATCCACACAGGAAATGATTTGTTTCTGTTCTACAACTGATAAACACCTGGGTTTTTCCATGCCTAAAACTTCAAGTACACCAGGAAGGCAAGCCAAGACTCTTCCTTGAGCTTGCTGATTTCACTTTTACCTGCTCCAGAAATATACGAGTGCATGAATGTAAAGAGTGGAAGCCATTGCGGCAGGGGGGCTGGGGGT